GCGGCCATTCTGATCCAGAAAGGAGCAAACATTAGAAGTCCTAGGGGCAGTATCTCGTTGCTGCACATGGCAGCAGCCTGCGGGTGCCCTCAAGTCGTGCAGCTGATCTTATCAAGAGGAGTGCGCCCAAATGTGAAGGACAATTTTAAAAATACACCTTTGCATTTGGCAGCGAGCAAGGTAATGTCTGTTTGTTCTGATTGTTATGAGACAGTGTTTGTTCTGATTGTTATGAGACAGTGTTTGTTCTGATTGTTATGAGACAGTATTTGTTCTGATTGTTATGAGACAGTGTTTGTTCTGATTGTTATGAGACAGTGTTTGTTCTGATTGTTATGAGACAGTGTTTGTTCTGATTGTTATGAGACAGTGTTTGTTCTGATTGTTATGAGACAGTGTTTGTTCTGATTGTTATGAGACAGTGTTTGTAATGAGACAGTGTTTGTTCTGATTGTAATGAGACAGTGTTTGTTCTGATTGTTATGAGACAGTGTTTGTTCTGATTGTTATGAGACAGTGTTTGTTCTGATTGTAATGAGACAGTGTTTGTTCTGATTGTTATGAGACAGTGTTTGTTCTGATTGTTCTGATGAGACAGTGTTTGTTCTGATTGTTATGAGACAGTGTTTGTTCTGATTGTTATGAGACAGTGTTTGTTCTGATTGTTATGAGACAGTGTTTGTTCTGATTGTTATGAGACAGTGTTTGTTCTGATTGTTATGAGACAGTGTTTGTTCTGATTGTTATGAGACAGTGTTTGTTGTTCTGATTGTTATGAGACAGTGTTTGTTCTGATTGTTATGAGACAGTGTTTGTTCTGATTGTTATGAGACAGTGTTTGTTCTGATTGTTCTGATGAGACAGTGTTTGTTCTGATTGTTATGAGACAGTGTTTGTTCTGATTGTTATGAGACAGTGTTTGTTCTGATTGTTATGAGACAGTGTTTGTTCTGATTGTTATGAGACAGTGTTTGTTCTGATTGTTATGAGACAGTGTTTGTTCTGATTGTTATGAGACAGTGTTTGTTCTGATTGTTATGAGACAGTGTTTGTTCTGATTGTTATGAGACAGTGTTTGTTCTGATTGTTATGAGACAGTGTTTGTTCTGATTGTTATGAGACAGTGTTTGTTCTGATTGTTATGAGACAGTGTTTGTTCTGATTGTTATGAGACAGTGTTTGTTCTGATTGTTATGAGACAGTGTTTGTTCTGATTGTTATGAGACAGTGTTTGTTCTGATTGTTATGAGACAGTGTTTGTTCTGATTGTTATGAGACAGTGTTTGTTCTGATTGTAATGAGACAGTGTTTGTTCTGATTGTTATGAGACAGTGTTTGTTCTGATTGTAATGAGACAGTGTTTGTTCTGATTGTTATGAGACAGTGTTTGTTCTGATTGTTATGAGACAGTGTTTGTTCTGATTGTTATGAGACAGTGTTTGTTCTGATTGTTATGAGACAGTGTTTGTTCTGATTGTTATGAGACAGTGTTTGTTCTGATTGTTATGAGACAGTGTTTGTTCTGATTGTAATGAGACAGTGTTTGTTCTGATTGTAATGAGACAGTGTTTGTTCTGATTGTTATGAGACAGTGTTTGTTCTGATTGTTATGAGACAGTGTTTGTTCTGATTGTTATGAGACAGTGTTTGTTCTGATTGTTATGATTGTGTTCTGATTGTTATGAGACAGTGTTTGTTCTGATTGTTATGAGACAGTGTTTGTTCTGATTGTTATGAGACAGTGTTTGTTCTGATTGTAATGAGACAGTGTTTGTTCTGATTGTTAATGAGACAGTGTTTTGTTCTGATTGTAATGAGACAGTGTTTGTTCTGATTGTAATGAGACAGTGTTTGTTCTGATTGTAATGAGACAGTGTTTGTTCTGATTGTTATGAGACAGTGTTTGTTCTGATTGTTATGAGACAGTGTTTGTTCTGATTGTTATGAGACAGTGTTTGTTCTGATTGTTATGAGATAGTGTTTGTTCTGATTGTTATGAGACAGTGTTTGTTCTGATTGTAATGAGACAGTGTTTGTTCTGATTGTAATGAGACAGTGTTTGTTCTGATTGTAATGAGACAGTGTTTGTTCTGATTGTAATGAGACAGTGTTTGTTCTGATTGTTATGAGACAGTGTTTGTTCTGATTGTAATGAGACAGTGTTTGTTCTGTTTGTAATGAGACAGTGTTTGTTCTGATTGTTATGAGACAGTGTTTGTTCTGATTGTTATGAGACAGTGTTTGTTCTGATTGTTAAGAGATAGTATTTGTTCTGATTGTTATGAGACAGTGTTTGTTCTGATTGTTATGAGACAGTGTTTGTTCTGATTGTTATGAGACAGTGTTTGTTCTGATTGTTATGAGACAGTGTTTGTTCTGATTGTTATGAGATAGTATTTGTTCTGATTGTTAAGAGATAGTATTTGTTCTGATTGTTATGAGATAGTATTTGTTCTGATTGTTATGAGACAGTGTTTGTTCTGATTGTTAGGAGATAGTATTTGTTCTGATTGTTAAGAGATAGTATTTGTTCTGATTGTTATGAGACAGTGTTTGTTCTGATTGTTATGAGACAGTGTTTGTTCTGATTGTTATGAGACAGTATTTGTTCTGATTGTTATGAGACAGTGTTTGTTCTGATTGTTATGAGACAGTGTTTGTTCTGATTGTTAAGAGATAGTATTTGTTCTGATTGTTATGAGATAGTGTTTGTTCTGATTGTTAAGAGATAGTATTTGTTCTGATTGTTAAGAGATAGTATTTGTTCTGATTGTTATGAGACAGTGTTTGTTCTGATTGTTAAGAGATAGTATTTGTTCTGATTGTTATGAGATAGTATTTGTTCTGATTGTTATGAGATAGTATTTGTTCTGATTGTTATGAGATAGTATTTGTTCTGATTGTTATGAGATAGTATTTGTTCTGATTGTTAAGAGATAGTATTTGTTCTGATTGTTAAGAGATAGTATTTGTTCTGATTGTTATGAGACAGTGTTTGTTCTGATTGTTAAGAGATAGTATTTGTTCTGATTGTTATGAGATAGTATTTGTTCTGATTGTTATGAGACAGTGTTTGTTCTGATTGTTAAGAGATAGTATTTGTTCTGATTGTTAAGAGATAGTATTTGTTCTGATTGTTATGAGACAGTGTTTGTTCTGATTGTTATGAGACAGTGTTTGTTCTGATTGTTATGAGACAGTGTTTGTTCTGATTGTTATGAGACAGTGTTTGTTCTGATTGTTATGAGACAGTGTTTGTTATGAGACAGCTAACACAAATATGATACACAAGATCACTCTTTGAGACATTGACAGGGACACTGAAACACCTGACTGTGATGCTTGACTGGGACATTTAATGAGACATCTGACTGGGACACCTAATGAGACATCTGACTGGGACATTTAATGAGACATCTGACTGGGACATCTAATGAGACATCTGACTGGGACATTTAATGAGACATCTGACTGGGACATTTAATGAGACATCTGACTGGGATACATCAACAATATAAGATATGCATATGATATTGTGTTTATTGCAGACACTGAAGTATATCCACATGTTTAGTGCATGCATTGATAGCTCACAGTAAGAAATTAGGCTTACGGTTAAATTGTCAGCAAAATTTAAATTATAGTTCATCATAAAATGGAAAGAAATACCAAAGTGGGAACTGCATACAAATGATGCAGTTCTTAAGCATGTCAGTAGATACAACTATTTGGGAACAGCCATACATGAGATGCAAGAGGCCTTGCAGAAATTAGAACAGGAACTGCCATGGCAAAAATGACCTTTAGTCAAAGTAAAAGATTCTCACTAACAAGAAGATGTCAATTGTAGTGAGAAACAATATTAAAGTTCTTGTTTAACCTGTGTTGTTTTGTGCCTGTGAAATATGGACAATAAGCAAACATTTATACAAAAAAATTTGCCTATTGTAGAGATGAGGCTGCCGAGAAGAATGCAAACATTTATACAAAAGAATGTGCCTATTGTAGAGATGAGGCTGCCGAGAAGAATGCAAACATTTATACAAAAGAATGTGCCTATTGTAGAGATGAGGCTGCCGAGAAGAATGCAAACATTTATACAAAAGAATGTGCCTATTGTAGAGATGAGGCTACTGAGAAGAATGCAAACATTTATACAAAAGAATGTGCCTATTGTAGAGATGAGGCTGCCGAGAAGAATGCAAACATTTATACAAAAGAATGTGCCTATTGTAGAGATGAGGCTGCTGAGAAGAATGCAAACATTTATTTTTAAAAATGTGCCTATTGTAGAGATGAGGCTGCCGAGAAGAATGCAAAGAATATCATGGAAGGATAGAAAAACAAACAAAGGAGTCCTGATCGAGATTTGTGAAACTCGTAAACTTACTAAAACAATAAGATGCAGACAGCCAGTGCTTATTGTACATGGTAGGAGAAGGAATAGACTTGAGAACTTTGCATCAGCTAACAAAGTGGATGGAAATAGTTTCTCCTGCTTTCTTTAGATACGGGCAACCCATGTTCTCGCATAGCAAGAAGACACAGGGATAAATCCTTGGATGGCCTAGTCAAATAGATGGTGCAAGACAAGAACATTGAACTGATCTGGGATTCTGGTGATACACATGTGACATTACTGCATACAAGAGGTAGACAGGTATGACATTACCACGTAAAACAGGTAAACTGGTGTGGCATTACTACACACAACAGGTAGACAAGTGTGACGTACCACACACAACAGGTAGACAAGTGTGACGTACCACACACAACAGGTAGACAAGTGTGACGTACCACACACAACAGGTAGACTGGTTAGTGCAGGTGGGATAGCAAATTGATCATGTTCAGTAAAAATACAGGTAAACTGAAACATTTCATGACAATAATCTTGTCTCTGCTGACTCCTCCCCCAGGGTGGCTTGTACGTTCAGCGACAAATCGTTGTGCCTGGACTCTACCGGGATCCAATCGCAGAATCTCTAGATGCCATACAGATGATTTTAAACATTTCCCGGCCCAAGTTCATCAAACCAGACACAGGTCATGCAGAAGTGGTTAAATGCCTGATTAGCCATGGTGCCAGTTTGACAAAGGTAAATGAAGACCATCAGACGCCAGTGCAGGTTGCTGAACTATACAAGGCTCAGGATGTTCTTGATGTGCTCACCAAGTCTGCTGTCTAAGTCGATAGTCACAGCCTGGCCGCCTGATACAATGAGTCAGATTTGACAGACTAAATCAGTTCTCACGGACTGACGCAGATGTGACAGATATACTGGGACCTGACAGACAGACTGACTTAGATCTGACAGATATACTGGGACCTGACAGGCAGATTGAGACCAGACAAACTGGAGACTTAATAGACAGAGATCAGAAAAGCTGAGACCTGACAGACAAACTAACATCAGGCAGACTGAGATGTGACAGACAGCCTGTGATGTGACATTCATACTGAGACCTGAAAGATAGACTGTGACTCAAAAGACTAGCCTTGATATAGGGACAGAATGAAAACTCAGACTGGCAGTTTAGGGGCAGGCTGAGATCTGCAAGACAGACCTGAAAAACTGGGCTTTGAAATAAGTACAGACTGAGGTCTCTGCCACACAGACAGATCTGAAAGTCTGGGCTTTGATATAAGTACAGATCAGAAAGTCTGGGCTTTGATATAAGTACAGACTGAGGTATCTGCCACACAGACAGACCTGAATGACTGGGCTTTGATATAAGTACAGACTGAGGTCTCTGCCACACAGACAGACCTGAAAGACTGGGCTTTGATATAAGTACAGACTGAGGTCTCTGCCACACAGACAGATCTGAAAGTCTGGGCTTTGAAATAAGTACAGACTGAGGTCTCTGCCACACAGACAGATCTGAAAGACTGGGCTTTGATATAAGTACAGACTGAGGTCTCTGCCACACAGACAGATCTGAAAGACTGGGCTTTGATATAAGTACAGACTGAGGTCTCTGCACACAGACAGACCTGAAAGATTGGGCCTTGATATAAGTACAGACTGAGGTCTCTGCCACACCGACAGACCTGAAAGACTGTGCTTTGATATAAGTACAGACTGAGGTCTCTGCCACACAGACAGATCTGAAAGACTGGGCTTTGATATAAGTACAGACAGAGATGTGTACAGAAATGTGAAGGACAACTTTCACATGGTCAGATTTAAAATGTCAGGGCAGTCACTTGTATATCCCTGTACATAAAATAAAATGCATGCATTTGTAATTGTGTGCATGATTTACACTTACAGCAGGTGCTGAAATAAAGTCAGCACCAGCTACTCTTGAACATGTATATAAATTCATTTGAACAGATCCATTTGTTTTGGATGCAGGTGTGTGTATGTGACAGTGTGTGCATGTGACAGTGTGTGCATGTAACAGTGTGTGCATGTAACAGTGTGTGTACATCATACATGTATTTGCCCATGGAAGGAGAAGCCAAGTTTGACATGTGGTTTGGACAAGCTAGATATGTAAACATTGGTGTCAATGTGAGTCCTTCTCTATGTACTCATTGCTGACTTCTGTCATCTCTTTGTTCAGCTTTCCCATTCTCTGTTTGTAGAACACCTTCTTCTGGGCCTTCAGTGTCTGCAGCTCAGTAATTGTGTTTGGAAACATGATATCCCAAGCTACTGTGACCTAAACCAGTGTTGTGTTTGGAAACATGATATCCCAAGCTACTGTGACCCAAACCACTGTTGTGTTTGGAGACATGATATCCCAAGCTACTGTGACCTAAACCAGTGTTGTGTTTGGAAACATGATATCCCAAGCTACTGTGACTAGAAGCCAGTGTTGTGTTTGGAGACATGATATCCCAAGCTAATGTGACTAGAAGCCAGTGTTGTGGGCATTGGCTGGAGTGACCTGGACTTGCTTGATGAAATGAAACAGTCTGGGCTCAGTTGTTTCCCAGTTATGACATCTGAAAGGTGAAGATTAAAGAAGTGCACCACCTTGATAGATGAATGTATTTAGGACCCAAGTTTACACCAAATTAACCATGTGTCTAGACTGCTTCATAAGTAAAGCAAACATTTGTTGACCATTCTCTTTAAACACACCAATCTTATCCAGTGCAGGATATTTTCTTGTTGAAATTGTAATTGACCAAGCAGGTGTGTCAACAAATGGCAGGTGTGTTAACATAATGGCAGGTGTGTTAACATAATGTTTGTTAGAACTCAGTGAAATTACACTCAGTGCTTTGTTATAAATGAAAGTTATTTTCATTAGTGTTTTCTTCAGTGTGTTTTTGATATGTAAGTGTGTGTACAATTTTTACTTTTATGAAATGAGCATGTGTGTGTACAAGCTTTACTTTTGTGAAGTGTGCATGCATGTTTAGAAGTTTTACTTTTATTAGTGTCCATGTGTGTGTTTAAGTTTTACTTTTATGAAGGGTGCACATATGTGTATGTTTTACTTTTGTGAAGTGTGTATCTGTGTGCACAAGTTTTACTTTTATGAGGTGTGCATGTGTGTGTACTTGCTTTACTTTTATGAAGAAGTGTGCGGAAGTTTTACTTTTGTGAAGAAGTGTGCATAAATGTTTACAAATGTTACTATTATGAAGAAGTGTGCATCTGTATGTACAAGTTTTACTTTTCTGAAGATGTGTATGTACAAGTTTTACTATTATGGAGAAGCCTGTGAGTGTGTATATGTGTATACAGGTTTTACTTATGTGAAGAAGCTTGTGTGTGAAAATAATAACATGCGAAGACACTTAAATGACGAAGAAAGCTGTGTGTTATGTTAAGAGAAGAGAGAGCCATTTTTGTTTAAGTACATTTGTAACAGTCAAACATATGAGGAGGGCAGGGTGTTTCAGTTCAGTGTATAACATAAAGAGAGAGCTGTTTGTGTGTGCATGTACTTGTGTGACAGGCATTTGCAAGCAATATTGAACAGTTAGGCTGTTTACTCATGTGTTTTAGTATTCTGTCACCATTTTTGGTTTAATTTGTTTTCCTCCAGTGATGCTCTGTTCTGCCACTTTGTACTGTTGTTTAGTGTATATTTGGTTGTTTCCCAACATTATGTACTTCTGAATACTTTATCACAATTAGAATTGTCATCAATACACATTCTGTAGTTTTTGCTGACTTGCAACTATCACTAAAATAATGGCATGCAATAATGACTCGCAACTGAAATACAAAAATGACTTGCAACATGTCTGGAAACATGCACAGACAGCACAGATATTTGTGTACGTGTCAGTCAGCACAAGGTTATCCAGTTAGATCCATTAACACAGACAGTATATAGATGGATGATTGTGTGTTTTGTGAAAAACATTTACCTGTATGTTGTGGACAGGGGCGTCGTCGACAAAAGTCATAAACAAATACTTCTATTCGAGCGGGAATCTGGCCTGAGCAACGCTTTCTTTTTGGCAGCATTCGGTCCTTGTCTATTATCTCCTCCCATTTCAAAGATAAAGGGACAGTCTAATATCTTAGGGGTGTTCCAAAAATAGACATTTTAAAGTGATAAGATGGAATAGGGAATTTCCGGTACATTACGTGGCGAAGAGTGTATCGTTTGTTGTTTTGTCATCATCATCATCATCATCAACTACTGCCGTTAAGCGGCGTGGGGCGGAATAATTTGCGATTCAGTGCATTTGTGTTTTGTCATCATCATCATTATCATCATCTCCTTCTGCCGTTGAGTGGCATGGGGAGGAATATTTTGCGATCCAGTGCATTTGTGCTTTATCATCATCATCATTATCATCAACTTTTACCGTAAAGTGGCGTGGGGAGGAATAATTTGCGATCCAGTGCATGTATGCTTTGTCATCATCATCATTATCATCAGCTTCTTCTGCAATTAAGCGGCGTGAAGAGGAATATTTTGCGATCCAGTGCATTTGTGCTTTGTCATCATCATCATCAACCACTTCTGCTGTTATGCGCCATGAGGAGGAATAATTTGCAATCCAGTGCATTTGTGTTTTGTCATCATCATCTACTTCTGCCGTTGAGCGGTGTGGGGAGGAATAATTTGCGATCCAGTTCATTTGCGTTTTGTCATCATCATCTATTTCTGCCTTTGAGCGGCGTGGGGAGGAATAATTTGCGATCCAGTGCATTTGTGTTTTGTCATCTTCATCATCATCATCATCAACCACTTCTGCCGTTAAGTGACATGGGGAGAAATAATATGCGACCCAGTGCATCTCTGTTTTGTAATCATCATTATCAACCACTTCTGCCGATAAGTGGCGTGGGGCGGAATAATTTGCCATCCAGTTCACGCTAGGTTGTTTTGTGATTTGTGTGTTAAAAGAAATTGAAACAGCTGAAACATACCAGTCATTTTGGAGCTGAAGCTTCAACTTCATCATCCAAGCGAAGTTTTTCCTGTGGATTTTGTGAAACAGACATCAGTGAAGATGAGGCGTTGATTCTGTAAAGTCATATCAATAGCTGTTTAATTTGTGACTGTTTCCATTTTAATGTTTATTCTAGATCTTTCCCGCGCAAATCTTAATATTTCTATATATTTTTGACCCATTTCTAAATGTTTTCTTTCAAAGAAAAGTGATTTCCAAGAGGTAGGAAATTATGGGGAAGAGAAAAAGGGGGGGGGGGGGGGGGAGGTGGGGGGTAAGAAAGAACAAATAGTTTATGTTAGCTTTACAAAATCGATCACAAAAAACAAACAAAGGACGTTGCGGTGATTAGTCTTCATCGGCACATAAAGAACAACACAGGACACATACACAAATATGCTCTAACTATGAAGTGACTACATGGGACTCTAATGTTTAAAATAAATGATACTCATCAGTGTCCCTGGCGATAAACTTCGTTGAAGAGGATGAATAGGACAGGTACTAGACTATATATCGTCAACGCGCGAACATGAAGCGAAAAATTGGTTCGGTATACCCGGGAAATGGGCGGATTAGACGCCAACAGAGACAACAGCGTGTACTGAGTGTCTAAAGGGGGAGGGAGGGGTTGGCAAATAGCGCAACCAGGGTTGGGTTGTGAGGATGACACTAGTACATCCGCATGGAATAAAAGTTGTGCCTTTGCTAGCGAACAAATACAATCAGACGGACAGGCAGGCCAGCAGACAGGCATTCTGACAGACAGATAGACAGACAGGCAGGTAGGCAGACAGGCAAACAGACGGA